CTTCTCTTCCCCAACTCTCCTTCACCTCTTCTCTCTTTCCTTATTCTCCTTACCCTTTTCCTTCCCTCCCTCCTTTCCCTCTCTCTCTCTCTCTCTCTCTCTCTCTCTCTCTCTCCCTCTCCCTCTCCCTCTCCCTTTCCCTTTCCCTCTCCTTTCCCTTTCCCTTCCTTCCCTCTCCTCTCCTCTCCTCACCCTCAACCTCTCGCACCTCTCGCCCTCTCCCTCTCCTCCCCCCTATCCCTTCTCTCCTTCTCTCCCCTCTCTTCCCCTCTACCCCCAATCCGACACCCCAAAGGAAAAAGAAAAAGAAAAAGAAAAAAAAAAATTCGCGCGGCGGAAATAGTCTCTCACAGAAATGCAAGTGGCGGAAGGTAAGGTCCCCGCCATGTCGCCGATGACGTCACCGGATTCAGCGAGACTCGAACGCGAAGTTATGCGAACGCCAGGAAGTGTCCGGATCCGCGCAAGAAGACTTCAAAAGCATTTTTTTTTTTTTTTTTTTTTTTTTTTTTTTTTTTTTTGTAGAGCGTAAACATTTCGCGTATATTCCCTCTGGCTTGCGGGAGAAAGCGAGACAGTTGTCGGCGTGATGGGGAGAATTGAAGGAGATGAGGAGGACGGAAGAGGCGGAGAAGGAGTGATGGAAAGAGATAGGAGAGAGGGAAGGAGAGAGAGAAAAAAAGAGAGGGAGAGGGAAAGGGAGAGAGAGGAGAGGAGAGAGAGAGAGTGGGAGAGGAGGAGAAAGAGGGAGGGGGAGAGGGAGAGGGAGGGGGAGAGGGAGGGAGGGAGGGAGGGAGGGAGGGAGGAGAGGGAGAGAGGGAGAGAGAGAGAGAAGAGAGAGAGAGAGAGAGAGAGAGAGAGAGAGAGAGAGAGAGAGAGAGAGAGAGAGAGAGAGAGAGAGAGAGAGAGAGAGAGAGAGAGAGAGAGAAAGATGGAAAAGAAGAAAGACGGAACATTTACATAAAAAAATCACTTGTTATCATCTTTTCTTGGGAACAGAGCATCACGATATCAATAAGGAATAAAATAGGGCAAAAAGAAAGTAGGAAAGAAAAAGAAATCCCCCCCAAAAAGAAAGAAAAAACAAAAACAAAAAAAACTGAAAAGTCCAAAGCAACAACCTTAACGAAAATGGAATAGCGAACCCCCTCCTGTCTCATACTTTTAAGGGGAGACATAAACAGATTGGAATTTCGCGGCGACGAAGCCTTTGCTATCCGAAACCTCTCTTAGGTGCGAAACAATAACAAATAGAAAAATAAGAAAAGAATAAACAAATTAAACGTTGCAAGGGAAGGACTAAATAAAAGCAAATATACATTTTTTTTTTTAATATCTGGAAAAGGACCATCCCCCATGGATATATCATTTTTCTTTTTTCTTTTTTTTACCGATGCAACCTTTAACTGGGCTCATATACGTGAAGACTCCAAGGCACTAAATACAATCAATATATTTTTCGCTTTTTCACTAAAGGGATAAAAACACGAAGGTAAACATTACTCCATTTGAACAAAAGACAAGCAGACAGGCTATAATTAGAACTGGGTGATGTCTTACATCTAGTATATAGCAAGAAGGGAAGCGATAGATAAATAGATAGATAGAGAAGGAGAGAAAGGGAGAAAGAGAGGAGACAGAAAGGGAGAAGGAGAGGAGAGAGAAAATGAGAAAGTGAGTGAGTGAGTGAGTGAGAGAGAGAAAGAGATAGATAGATAGATAGATAGATAGATAGAGAGAGAGAGAGAGCGAGAGAGAGGGCGAGAGAGAGAGAGAGAGAGCGAGAGAGAGGCGAAGAGAGGAGAGAGAGAGATGAGAGAGAGAGAGAGAGAGAGAGAGAGAGAGAAGAGAGAGAGAGAGAGAGAGAGATAGGAGAGAGGAGAGAGAGGGTGAGAGAGATAGGGCGAGAGAGAGAGAGGGTGAGAGAGAGGGCGAGAGATGAAGATGAGAAGAGATAAGAGAGAGGAGAGGAGAGAGGAGGAGAGAAGAAAGGAGACGAGAGAGAGAGATGGAAGACGAGAGAGGAGGAGTCTGGGAGTTGAGATGAGGGGAGAGAGAGATGAGAGAAGTGAGAGAGAGGAGAGAGAGAGAGATTAGGGAGAGAGGGAGAGAGCGGGTGAGAGAGAGGGCGAGAGACGAGATGGAGGAGAGAGGGCGAGAGAGAACGACTAGAGAGGAGAGAGAGAGAGAGAGAGAGAGAGAGAGAGAGATGAGAGAGAGAGAGAGGGGGGGGGGGGGTGCGAGATAGATAGATAGATAGATAGATAGATAGAGAGAGAGAGGGGGGGGGGAGAGCTTTAGTCTACAAACGTGCTAGATGGTTTCATACCCATGTTCATTTTTACACAGGGAGCTCATGATTCATTCAAGTTCAAGATACTTTATTTAATGTGTCAAATTTAGGAGGAGACCATAAGTGGCAACAGTGACATCTCTCTCTCTCTTTTTCTTATCTAACCCCTCCTTCTTTATTTCTTTCCCTACCTTCCTTCCTCTCTCTCTCTCTTTCTTCTTTTCTCCTCATCCCTCCTTCTTTTTCTTTATCTCCCTCTTTACCTTGTCTACCATTAACTCCTTCTCTCTTCCTTCCCCACTCCTCTTTGTTTCCTTCCCTTCCCTATTTCTCTTTCTCTCCCTTCTCCCCCCACCTCTCTTTTTTTCCCATCTTCATTCTCTTTCTCTCCCTCCCTTCCTTCTCCCCATCTCTTTCCCTCTCTCCGTGCCTCCTTCCCACTCTCCACCCCTTTTCCTCTCTCTTCTTTCTTCCCTCTTTCTCATTTTCTCTCCCTCCCTGTATCCAACCCTCTCTCTCTTTCTTTCTTCGTTTTCATATATATTTTCTTTCTTATTCATACTTTCTCTTTCCCTCCCTTCCTCCCCCCCTCACCCCCCCCCTTCTTTATCTTCCTCACTCTTTCTCTCTTACGGTCTTTTCTATGGACTCGAACGCATTTTTCATTTGCAAAAACGTAATAAGAAAAACAGATAAAATTGGCTTTGGCTGAACACTTTGACAGGAATAGCAGAAAACCCAACACCACGAAGTTGTAAAAAGAAAAAAAGAAAAAGAAAAAGAGAGAAAATAGGAAAAAAGAAAAGAAAAAATAAACAGGAAGAACTTTGGACGTGTGTACATTTATGCACAAAATTTTCTGTCTAGCAATCTGTTTTTTTTTCTGTCTGTTTGTTTGTCTGTCTACATGCAGAGATAGAGAAACGCGCGGGCGCGCATGGACACGCGTGAGCATACGCACATACGCACATGTACATGCACACACGCACACGCACGCACACATACACACACAGACACACATGCATATATCCTTTATCCCTCTCATCCTATCAGCTTGGATTGATAAGCAGAGCCATGCACGCGTAGGTTACCTCTATTTTTAATATGTAACATTTTTGTTTTTATCATTATCATTATTATTGTTGTTGTTGTTGTTATTATTATCATCATTATTATTGCTGTTGCTGTTATCTTGTTATCATTGTTATCATTATTGCTATTATCATCATTACTATCACTTTCATTTTTTTTTCTCGCCCGATATCCTGTACATAAAAAAAAATCTTCCGAATCTTTCAACAAAGTAAGTGTTAGTTATTTAAGAATTCCTATTTATCTATTTTTCTTCTTAGTTTATCGTGGATATCACTATTCTATCTATTTATTTATTTATTTTAGTGGCCACGTAAATGTACAGCGTATATGTAATTAATTCGACACGAAATACTTAAGTGAAAATGTTTAGCCTCAATCAAGGCTGATGGTCATATGGCTACTGATTATAAAAAAAGAAAAAGAAAAAATAGAAAAAAAAGAAAAAAAAAACATATTGTAGTTCATACATAAGAAGATTACAAAGCCTACGTGACATATTGTATAACCTGTATTATAACGTAACGAACAAAGTAACTGGGTCCTATTTTACAAAATTGCACAGTACAGCTCATGATTATGCAATTGTACATCTAAAAGATTCAGTAAATTGTATTATAAGTGAATTACGTATAACGGCAACTGCTTGCTCATTCATAACTTGCGTCGACCATCTTATTAAAACTGTTTGTTATGTACTTCAAAACGGTTGCCAGATGCTTATTGTACATAGCTGATTCTTAACTTGTCTGTCTACATTATCATTATCCGGTTTAGTTACTGTTTCTTGTTGCATAAAATCTCTTCAATTTTCGATAGGGTTTTGGTCTACACTAAAATTTCTTGGCCCACAATCCTTGATTAATGTCTAAGTTACAATTATTTCTTACTCCATTATATTGTCTGTTTGTCAGTCTGTTTCTCTGTTTGTGTGTCTGTGTATCTGTCTGTCTGTTAGTCTCTCTCTCTCTCTCTCTGTCTCTCTCTGTCTGTCTGTCTGTCTGTCTCTCTCTCTCTCTCTCTCTCTCTCTCTCTCTCTCTCTCTCACACTCTCTCTCTTCACTAACCTTTCACACTCGTAGATGTAGACATTTTGTTAAAATTGTTGCAAGGCAAAACCCAATGAATATTAACATATACGGACATGCATATTTGTCTATCTATCTGATGGATTTACATTTATTTACCCATCTGTTCGATAGATATGCATGTATAGACTGATAGCTATGCATTTATTTCTGTATATACGCATGTCAGTATAATTAATATTTATTTAACCGGCCGAAAGTCATGAGTGCACGGGAGAAAACACAGAAAAACTAAGGAAAATATGTAAGACCATAATAATAATAATTATTATTATAATAATAATAATACAAATAATAATGATGATAATAATAAAAATGAGATAATGCGAGTAATAATAATAATAATAATAATAATAATAAACGTAAGATTAGAGACAAGTCACACACACACACACACACACACACACACACACACACACACACACACACACACACACACACACACACACACACACACACACACACACACACACGCACACACACACAACACGGCATTTACTCTGCCCTTGGACACGGGAATGCCTCACAGTCTGGCTCCTGAGTCATCTCTCGCAGGACATTCTTCTCCTGCCGGTGAATATAGACATGGGTGACGTCATTAACCCTGGTGACGTCACTACATAAGGGGTTGTACAAGCGAGGAATGTGATTGCTGTTATTGTTGTTGTTTTTGTGGTTTTGGTTGTTGTTTTGTTTTGGTTGTGGAAGATAATGTGTTCTGGTGTGTGTGTGTGTGTGTGTGTGTGTGTGTTTTAAGTTCTGGTGATAGGTTTGTAGGAATTATTTTATTTGTATTATGGTGATCTTCGTTACTGTCATTGTCATTATTATTATCAACATCATTGGGTGTGGCATGTATTCTTGTCATACGTGTTTATTAGGTTAAATTATCCTCAGTATTATCGTTTCAACAAAACGCAAACGCAAGAAAATATCACATTGAATTCGTCTGGAAAATGTTATAAATCAAGATATTTATGTCAAATTCCCTCTTTCTATTCATCCTATCACTACTCTTCGCTTTTATCATGTTCCTTCTATGCACGTAAATTCTTGAAAATACACTTCCTTACTTTTCTTTCCCCTTCCTTTATTCCTTTTTCCTTCTTCCTCCTTCAATTTTTCTTTTCCCTTTCTTATTCATTATTAAAAAAAAAAAATCATTCTTATTTTCATTTTAATTTTTATTTTCCTTGCTATTTCCAATTTTTTTCTTCTCCTTTCACTCTCCCTTTTCCCCTTCCCGTCCTCCTTTCTCTCTCGTCTTCCCCCTCCTCCCCAACCTCCCCTCAACCCCCCCCCCCCCAACACACACACCGCCATTTAGGAAACTATCTCTTCTCATCTTAAACCTTGACAATTACCATTACTAATTAACAACATGGACAATCCCCATCAACCACTAATTAACAGCTGAAGATATGCTAATTACCTGCTATCCATTAACGAGAGTTCAAATTCCCTAAATAACTTTCAGGAATTTAACAGTCACGGAATTAGGAGGAAGGGGGGGAAGGGGGGGAGGGGGATTTCTGTTAATTAATCACAAACCGGTTATTCCCTGTCTGTCTGTCTGTTTTTATGTCGATTCCGAATAACGGGGAGGGGGTGGGGAGGGGAGGAAAGGGAAGAGATGGAGGAGGAGGAGGAGGAGGAGGAGGAGGAGGAGGAGGAGGAGGAGGAGGAGGAGGAGGAGGAGGAGGAGGAGGAGGAGGAGGAGGAGGTGGGAGGAAGGAGGAAAAGGAGGAAGAGGACAAAGAAAGGGAGTAGGAATGGGAGGAGGAGGGGTTGGGAAAGGAGGAGGAGGATGAGAATGATGATGATTATGATGATGATGATGATGATGAAGAAGATGAAGGAGATGAAGATGAAGAAGATGAAGAAGATGAAGAAGACGAAGAAGACGAAGAAGATGAAGAAGATGAAGAAGATGAAGAAGATAAAGAAGAAGAAGAAGAAGGAGGAGGAGTGAAGGAGGGGAGGGAAGTGAGAGAGGGAGATCGAGAGAGAAAGGGAAAGGGAGAAAGATAAAAAAGGTAATGGTAGTAACAACAATGCGATGATGATGATAAAGGCGGAGGAGAAAGATGATGATAAAGGCGGAGGAGAAAGATGATAATAAATGTAGTAATAAAGACAGCAAGAAAGAAATTCAGGGTTTAAATAAATTCAGTTTTAAGAAACTCTTGGTTATAGCCACTCAAGACATCTTGCTTTATTTCAAAATAACACTAAAAACAGACAGAGGAGATAGCGAGGGCTACTCTTCCTTATATATTTATGTGATATTTCGAAAACAAATATGGCTTACCTTCTTTAAACTTTGTGATTATTTTGTTAAGTAGAGATACATCACTGCTGATCAAATCGAGTGATTGTTAAGTTGTTCCTGGATTATTTGAATGCTAAACAGTTCAATATAAAATTTACACATAGGCTTGAGTCCAATGGTTGCGTATCCTTTTTAGATATCAAGATAATCCTTTCATTTTATCTGTGTATAGAAAACCTTCTTACAAAATTAAACTCTTATATTCCTATTGAATATAAAAAGTAACTTACTTTTAGTCTCTGTTACTGTTAGGCTTACTGTTAGATTTCTCGAGATAGAAATTCTTTTATTTATATCTGTGTATAGACAAACTTCTAACAAAATTCAACTCTTATATTTCTAATAAATATAAAAGTAACTTACTGCCAGTCTTGAAAAAGAGAAATTTCAAAATGTCAAGAAATTGTTAAAAAATTCATCAAGAGGTTAAATCTATTGTCAACATCTTGGAAATGTTTACCAGAATTACGGTATAGAAAAGTTTAAAATCATTTACACAATTACTATAACTATTGGTAATTTCCTTTTAAGTTTAAAGATAAAATTACCAAGCCTCTATGCTCTTCTATTGTATATAAATCCTCGTAAGTGATAGTTGTAATGCTAAGTGGTAAAAAAAAACATTTATTTATGCCTATGGAAGAGACACAAAGGATTAAAACTCACAAACAAAGTCCTTTTTCTTATAGTAATCA